CTGCAAACTCGAAAGTCAAAACAAGTATCATAAGACAAAAAGAGGCCTAATTTCCGCCGCGCATAATATGGAGAACCAAGATGATATAATTCAGTCTACATCTTTTCATTTTGATCCTTACAATTAAACCAAAAACTCAAATGCATTTTTGTTTCATCTCAGATAATGAAAATTGAAATACTAGTATTTAAGTCTTTTTAAAATTTTAACTAAAAAAAATAAAAATCTTTTTAAAATAGAAAGCGAGATAACTAAATTTGACAGCCTCTATTTAACAAGTGAGATGACTAATTAGACCAGGTCCATTTAGTAAGTGAGACAACTAAATCAGACTAAACAGAGTATGCACAATTGGTCAACAGGTGAATGTGTTAATGATATCTAAGCATTAGAATTTTATGTGAAACTAGAAGCTTAGAATATTTCTGAGTGGCGACCAACCATCCTCTAAAAGAAAAAAGAATTTTCAAGTGGATTAAAATTTTCTAGTAAGGCATCAGATTATATTTAGTGAAGCTGGCCAATTGAGTATTTCTTCTTTTTGAGTTTGGACTTCAACGTTTGGGCAGTTAGTCCCAAAACATGCATCCTACATACATTTCTTCATCTTTACTATATATAAAGTTCCATTTACACAATGTTTCCTAAATCTCAAATCTAATAAGCATCTGAGGAACAAAAGAATGACGATCATCACGAGAACATCTATCTCTGCTTTCCTACAATTGCTAATGATTTAATCAGCAGTAGGCCAGGCTCTATTGAAGCCTGGTTGTAAAGAGCATTGTGGGAATGTCAGCATTCCATACGCCTTTGGAATCAGAGCAGATTGCTACATGCACAAAGAGTTTGAGGTCTCCTGCGATGAAACTTCCAACCCTCCAACAACTTTACTAACCAGCATAGAGACTAAGGTTCTGTATTTCACTCTTGATCACAGCATAGTTAATGTCAAAATACCAATCATCTCCCAGCAGTGTCCTGTAAGTTTGAAATTTTTGGATTTCTTGGGAAGTCCTTTCATGTCCTACAAAAGGAGAATGTTGTTACTCCCCTCAGGATATGTTCCAGCTGTGTTAGACTGGGCGATTACTGATGAGGATGCATCACAAATTACCATATGGATATGATCATGCATTTAATTGTTCCCAGTTTAATGGTACTATTGCTAATTCTTCCTTCTTTTATAATACTTCTTCCCTCCCTCCAATGCCCCTAAACACAAGTCAACAATGTTTTTGTGAACATGGATTTCAAGGCAACCCTTACCTACCTTATGGATGTCAAGGTAAAGCAAGGGTGGCAGGCATACCAATTGGAATTTTTTTAATATGCCTATGGTATTTTTTATTTTTGTTAGTATTGTCTAGCTGATTTTATTTATTTATTTATTTATTTTTGCGTCTTGGATATTGACAAATGCAATGACCCCAAGCACATTTTTAACTGTGATTAGGACTCAATTTGTGTAAATAAGATAGGGGACTAGGCTTGCAAACCCAAAGGCAAAATAGCCTGGCCTATAATTTTGCGTAAGATCCATATTTTTGGACTTTTATTTATCATTTTTATAGTATAAATCAATTTTAAACTAAAAAACAATTTAAACTCAAACACATACCCCTGCAGTTCGGTACCAATGTCTTCAACAAAGCTTGTCAGTACACTAGCATCTATAGGATAAACAGTTGTCTAGGAATCCCACTCCCACTAGAATGCCACACTACCACACCTATCTAAACCAAGGAACTCTAAAAACCTGGAATCTCATCAATTGACAATTGACAACTTTAATTGATTGATAAGCCTCTTGAGTGCAAGAAGACATTATCTGCTCCTTTAGACAAAGTCAAGCCTTTCATCTCGGCCACCATACCAGAATATCTAGTTGGTATCTACCAACCAGATTGTCTCCACTGAGAACTTTTGTTTCATGCTGCCCACAGTGAACGCAGCTATTTTTTGTAGCCTTTCACAAACTCCGTCCTCTGGTAGCCAACAGTCATAACAAAGGGAGGTTTGTTTGTTTATCTACCATCCCCAGCTTCAATACTAACACCATCTCTCATCATCTTTTTCACCTAAAGATCTTTCTTAAAGACCTTGCGCAATCCTGTGGACTTTTGTTGATTTCATTCCATTTCATTTTCAAATTTGAATAATCTGACCATGAAACTGGACTTTTATATAAATCAAGTGTTGATATACATGCGTATCTCTTGCTAACGTCATCTGTTTCTTCTTTCTTGATATCTGCAGGTATTAGCCTAAGGTTAGGAGAAGTGTGTTTACCTATAGGTACATGGTTGTTGTACAAAATCTTAAAGAAGAGAAGGAAAAAGAAGCTTCAAAAGCAGTTGTTCAAACAAAATGGAGGTTTATTATTGCAGTAACAACCATCTTCAACTGAGGGTAATATTGAAAAGACCAAAATATTTAGTACCAAAGAGTTCG